TCTAACCAACCCTTTGCTCATTGCTTGGTAGATCTCATCACGGACTTACCCCTCTCTGATGGCTTCAACTCTATCATGGTCATGGTCAACCACGGACTTTCAAAGGGGGTAGTCTTTACCCCTTGTCTTAAAACCATAGATGCTGAAGGTGTTGTGAACATTTTCTTCTCTAAAGTTTTCTCTAGATACGGACTATATGATAAAATTATCTCTGACTGCAGACCTCAGTTCACTTCCAGATTCCAGATTGAACTTGGAAAACTCCTCAGATACAAGAACTCCCTTTCCACCGCTTTCCACCCCCAGAGTGACAGAGAAACTGAATGAGTTAATCAAGAACTCGAAGTTTACCTTCAGATCTTCTGCACTAATGACCAAATGGGTTGGGCACCCATGCTACTGCTTGCTGAATTTGTCCATAACTCACGTCATCATTCCGCCTGCAGCACATCTCCATTCTACCTCATGATGGGTTATCACCCATGTCACCTTCCTGATTCTCACCTGAAATCTGACATCCCTAATATAGAACAATGCCTCACTATCCTTAATAAAGCACACAATGAAGCACTAGCCACTCATGAACTTGCATGCAATACCATGCATCAGCAAATAACGTCTAAATTCGTACTATTCTCTAAAGGCGATAAAGTCTGGCTCAAAGCCAAGAACTTACATCTTGGATACCCTAATTGGAAACTTGCTCCTAAACGCGAAGGACCATTCATTATCACTGACATATTATCCCCTATAACTTATTGACTCGCCCTACTTGTGCAATGGTGCATTCATCCCATATTTCACGCCACACTTCTTTCCCCTTATAAAGAAAATGATACCCATGGCCCTAGCTATATTCCACCACCACCTGATCTTATTGATGGTGAAGAAGAACACAAAGTAGAAGCCATTGTCGGACACCGAGGCTCTTCTTCTCAACGCCAATACTATGTTAAATGGAAGGGATTCCTGAGTTCCAAGAATGAATGGATGAAGGAAGCCAAACTAGGTAATGCTTCTGATCTTCTCTCTACTTATAAATCATCACATCATCTTCTTTGATAGTAGTCAGTGCCTATTACCCTTACAATGGGGGTAATGTTATGGTTCCTCTTTTTCTCTTCACTTATTCACCATTTACTAATCATTCTCAGACATTCCATCACATTCTATCGTACAATTCTCTTTACTCTTTTTCTAATTCATTATTTACTTTCAAACCCCGACTCATTTATTAAAGCTCCGCTTTAATACATTTATATATACTCTATCTCTTATGCTTGTATTTCTTCAACTTGACCTATGCAGACCAGGGCCTGCAATATACTGCTTAACTTGCATGACTCATGAATAGGTTCATGCTTTAGATCATTTGTTTTTGTCTAGTTGTTCTTATGAATGCCGAGCATAACAGAGTCTAGTCCAGAAACCCTTTAGGGTTGAATAGCAGCTAGGCATAGCACATTTGACCCAACTTTAGAAGGCTTTTTTCCAGTTCTCTTCTTGTTGTGTTTCCCACAACATGCAGCAGCTTGGTCTGTCTTCATCTTTTTATGAAATGCCACAATGCGCTTATTAGTTTCCAGTACAGCTGCTTTACTTGCCTTCTTCTCCTCTTCTTCACATTGCTCATTGGCGGCCTTTTGAGCTTTGGTACATCTTTTTATGCAGTTTTTGCCCCCAGTCAGAATATGTCCTGGATGCTGAGTTGCATTCTTAGGTTGAGTTGCCATGCATTTTGGAGCTGCACTGGCAGGCATGGTGTCAATGGAGGGTTTGGGAGGCTAAAGAAATTTGAGGGCAATGGTAGCTCACAACAAGGTATGTTTTGTCACCATTCTTCAAAAATTGTAGTCTAAGCTGACTCTGAATAAATACAGTGGCTCAAAAAAGTGTCTGAATGTTTATGCATTTTCAAGTAATTGGACAATAGCAAGCCAGCACCTGAGTACAATATAAAGGCATAGTGACAAGTCTAAAGGCTTGACATCATAGCTATAATCTGAGATATATATCGTGGGAACTAGACCATATATGGGCAAGATATGGTAATTATAATCACATGACTTATTTGGACACTTTTTTTGACTTTATATCCAAATCACAAAATCCAACCATTCACAGATATTATTCTTAGTAGAAGTGGTGCACTAATCAATATTTGGTCTTATTTTAATATTATTTATATATACAAACCTACATAACATCATGAACTTTAACATAATCATCATACAGCCCATCTCCTCTGCTCCAAAGGATAATATCCTTATTCTCTGCTCCTCTAGTTTGTCTATGAGGCAAATTGCTTCCAAAACTGGTCCTAGCAAGTCTACTATTGCTATAGTAATAAACCAGAACATGCTAGAGAAGGAAAATTATAAAATGGGATGGTCTTTCAAGCTTACTCTACAGCACAAAAGAGCTATTGTTCATTAAAGTCTATCTGGCAAGGCTTCAAATGTTGTCCATGCCATCAAGTTCATCAATTCCATTATCCCCACTCCCATTCCCACTCAGAGAAGTCAAGAATATACTAAAGTTTGGAAGATGAAGTATGATGGTAGGAGTTGTAGGAGATGGAATGGTGTGGGGATTCTTTGTGGGGTGGAAGGAGGCATGAATGTAGAGCAGTGAATCTCCATTCTAGAGGGTGTCTACTCAGAAGCATGCAGAAGTCAGGAATTGATGAAGAAGACATTATCTTCCAACTGGATAATGACTCCAAGCATACCTCAAAGCTAGCTACAAAATGGCTCAAAGCTCATGAGATCAATGTTCTATCATTGCCAGCATAACTATAGCAATAGTAGACTTGCTAGGACCAGTTTTGGAAGCAATTTGCCTCATAGACAAACTAGAGGAGCAGAGAATAAGGATATTATCCTTTGGAGCAGAGGAGATGGGCTGTATGATCACATATTGCAGTGACCTATCTCCGTATTATACAAGTGAACGGACATGCATAATATCCCATATAATATGGGCCAGTGGACCATGGGCTGAAGGTAAAAATATGCCTGACTATGACAGATGGGCCGGGAGGGATATTATTTCTGATGGGGACGGGTGGGCCCATCTATGCCCATGTTATAAATATCCTTGACGATGGTGGATGGGCCAGGAGAAATATTATTACCGATGGAGATGGGTGGGCCCATCTGGGCAATATGTAGAGTAGGATAGACATATATGATAGACAGCTGGGTTGAAGAGAGATGTATAGCAGATATTATTATATAGACAGGTGGGCCAATATATTAGTATTATTTTGTAGATGGGTGGGCTGATGGGGTGGTGAAATACTTATTATATATATGGGTGGGCCGAGGTGGGGGTATATTAGATAGATGGGTGGGCTGATGGGGCAGTGAAATATGTATTACAGTGGCTCAAAAAACTGTCTGCATGTTTTGACATTTTTCACTATCTATGATATTGTGTGAGAACGAACAAATGGCTCAAGGACATGCTTATAGCACATTGTGGTATGGCTTCAGGGCTTTCATTTGAGCCCTACACTGTGGGAATCGGTGGAGATATGGTGGAGATACAAGGCTCACAAAATGGTGACTCATGTGGACAGTTTTTTGACTCAAGTATTTTATAATAATAACCAGGTATTCTAGTATTTTGTATGACCTCCCTTGGCTTTAATTACTGCCTCTATCCTTCTAGGCATACTCTCAATTAATTTCTGGCAATCCTCAGCTGTGATCTTCCCCCATTCCACTGCTACTCTCTCCCAAAGCTCCCATACTCCTTTAGGGGAGTTTTCATAGGCTTGAAGCTTTTTCTTGAGTGTTTCCCAGAGATGTCCAATGACATTGACATCAGGAGACTGTGCTGGCCAGTCAAAAACATTGATGTTATGTTCTTCAAACCATTCCTTAGCTCTTCTGGATGTGTGCTTGGGATCATTATCCTGTTGGAAAATGATATCTTCTTCATCAATCCCTGATTCTGCCAAGCTAGGCAGCAAGTGGTCATTTAAAGTGTCCACATACTGCTCAGCATTCATCTTCCCCTCAACCTCAGAAAGCATTCCCACACCATTCCATCCCATACAGCCCCATACCATTAAAGAACCTCCTCCAAACTTGACAGTCCCATTAACCTCTCTGTCTGTTAGGCCATCTCCCTTCTTTTTCCATACATATACCTTCCCATCTGACCCAATCCTATTGATTTTGGTCTCATCTGACCATATAACATGCTTCCAGTCCTCTACAGTCCAGTGTTGATGAGCTAAGGCAAAGGCTAGTCTTCTCTGCCTATGTTTGATGGAGAGAAGAGGCTTTTTCTTCTTTGTTACTGCCTTGAGATAAGCTGCCTTGAGAACATTCCTCACAGTTTGTGAAGAGACAGGGGTAGTGATGGTGGAATTGATATAATGGGTGGCTTGGACAGCATTATCAGCCTTTCCTGTAGTGATATGTTGGATAATAGCCCTTTTGTCAGTAGAGGTAAGCTTGGATGGACATCCTCCACAAGAGTTTTCCTTGTCTGGGTGGCTTTCTTTGATGAACTTGGCCACAGTGGACTTGCATACTCCAGTTCTAGAGGAAATTTGGTGAGCAGAGAGGCCAGCATAAGACAGAGAGAGGATATTATCTCTTTGAGCAGAGGAAATGGCTTTCATGGTGATTATGACTATGATACATGAGATATTCTGGTTTATATAGTCAGATATAGTCATAAAATAACATAATGACACCACTTCATAATTTATATAATAGTGGCATGATTTTTGTGGTGTCATAAATAATGATTTATATAGTTTTAATATACACTCAAAAAACTGTCCACATGAGTCATCATTTTATAAGCCTTATGTCTCCACCATATCTCCACTGAGTCCCACAGTGTAGGGCTCAAATGAAAGCCCTGAAGCCATACTACAATGTGGTATAAGCATGTCCTTGAGGCAGTTGTTCGTTCTCACACAATATCATAGATAGTGAAAAATGTCAAAACATGCAGACAGTTTTTTGAGCCACTGTAAGTACACACGCATCCTAACAATGCTGACAACCAAGGCTGCAGAATTGAGCTTCCCTGAATGGACAAGCGAACATGCAGAAGTGTTCACAGCTATCAAGAGTCTGGTTGTTAGCCCTCAGTGCCTCACGACTATAGACCACAATAACCCAGGAGAAAATTCATAACTTGTGATGCTTCTGATTATGCAACAGGTGCAGTGTTGTCATGGGGACTGACACACAAAACAGTGTGACCAGTGGTGTTTAACTCAACTCAACTGCGAGGAGCTGAACTCAACTATCTGGTCCATGAGAAAGAACTCCTTGCAATCATGCGAGCATTAAAGAAATGGAGATCAGATCTGTTGGGTATGCATGTCAATGTCTATACTGACCATTGCACATTGCAGAATTTCACAACCCAATGAGATCTCTCTTGATGATAGGCAAGATGGGCAGAATACATGTCTCAGTATGATCTTGAAATACACTACATCAAGGGCAAAATGAACACTGCAGCAGACACTCTCTCATGACGAATGGATATGACATCTGCTATCCAGGAGTGTGTGGCCATGTTGATGCTGGGAATAGATAAAAATGTCAAAAAGTGAATCAAAAATGGGTATGCACTGGACCCATGGTGTAAGAGGCTGAATGATTTCCTAGGTTCCTTACTGGGACTTTCTCAGGATGAACACAGGTTGTATTATGTGGCTGGGCACCTAGTGATTCCACAAGTCAACAACCTTCAAGAACAATTGTTTCACACCACACATGATGTTGCAGGTCATTTTGGTGTGGACAAGTCATACACCCTGCTAAGGGTGTCTTACTACTGGCCAAACATGTGTAAGGACCTAGTGGAATTGCACATCCCATCCTGTCTGCCTGCCTGCAATGCATGAGGAACAAATCAAAGATGACTGCTACTGCCAGCCCACTTCATCCATTGCCTATACTGGACACATGTGGTGACTCAGTTGCCATAGACTTCATCAGTCCACTCCCAGACAATGGCAGATATAACATGCTTGTGTCAATGATGGACCAACTGAATGCCGATATATGCCTCATGCCCTGTAAAGACAACATTACAGCCAAACACTTTGCCACCTTGTTCTTTGATCATTGGTATTGTGAGAATGGGCTGCTGAGAGAGATAGTGTCTGATCGTGATTTTGGCATGCCTTACACAAACTGACTGGCATTAAATTAAAGATGTTGTCAGCTTACCACCCTGAAATGGATGGCACCAGTGAACAAATGAACAAGACAGTGAATCAATGCCTACATTATTATGTCGACAGGAACCATAAGGGTTGGGTATGCGCACTGCCCCATGTACATTTTCATATTGAGATTATAGTCAACATGAGCACTGGCTTTTCCCCTTTTCACCTGCATCTTGGGTGCTCACCATGCATGTTACCACCTGTTGTGGCAGACCCTCAATTGGTAGACGAGCCAGAAGATCAAAGAGTGAGAACCACACTGTCAAGATCGGAACAAGACATCATGGAAGCACAAGACAATCTGTTGGCAGCAAAAGTGGTGCAAGTGACCAACATGAACAAACACTGTGCTTATGCCCTGAACCTCCAAGTTGGAGATCATGTCTTGCTCGCCACAAAACATTGCCAGAGGGAATACATTTAAAAGGGAGACAAACATGTAGCAAAGTTTATGCCAAGATACAACAGACCTTACACAATCTTGGGCTCACACCAAAACCTCAACATACACCCTTGACCTTCCCAGCTTGCCTAACATCTTCCCTACATTCCATGCAAGTCAGTTATAGCCTTACAAAGCGAATGACCCAAACTTGTTTCATTCTCACAAACACCCACAACCAGGTCCTGTCATGATGGAGGATGACCAACTTGAGAACTTCATAGACAAGATCATTGACAAATGCAAAGTTGGCAGATGAAAACAATATCTGGTCTGATGGGTCAGATTTGGCAAGGAAGATGATGAATGGCTACCATGGAGGGAGCTGGAGGATTGCAAAGCCCTGGATGTTTGGGAGACAGAATGGTCTGAAGGATAGTGGGAAAGGGTGTAAGCCTGGTGCTTACCACATGACAGCTTATGTGCTGATTGGACACCACATATTATTTGTTCCATGTTTGGACTGATCCATGTCTACTCATATATATAGCTCAATGCATACTCACTCATATCTTATCTTCTTACCACCTTGTCAATCATACACTCTTCCACATTATTGTCTGTTTGTTAGTGTTTGTCATTGACATGATGACATTCCACACATGTCCCAATAGAAATTGATTTGGACAAGGACTCAGGGTCTGACTGTGGATACCTGGGTGGTGTCAATGCAGATTACTCAGGCAGTGATTTGGAATATGAACCAGATACATCAGAGAGTGAATGGTCTGATGATGAAAGCCTTTGTGAATTTGGGGGTGATGATTTGAAAGAAAACTTGGCTGCTCTCAGAGCCAAGGCTGAAAGTCTCCATGATCACCCAATGGCTGTTCCCATGTTTGAGAAGAAGACAGCAGTAGAATGGGAGAAGGTAGAATGGAACAGGGCACTTGCATATAATGGCCACTCAGGCTGAACAAAGAGGAGGCATGATAAGGCTGCAAGAGAGCTTGCAGAGTACTGTGAAAAGAGGAAAATTTTGTGAGTTTTGAAGCTTGAACATTGAATAATATCTGAGTCACTCACTATTCATCAGAGATGATCCACAAGTTACACTGATGTGCAAAATGTTTGCACACCCAAGATGTCATGCACCCTCCCCATCTCTTCAGCCCCAGAATTTGAACTTAGTATCTGACTTCAAGTTACTACCTGCTGCGAGTCATGGATTGTGTTACCTCTCTGATGAGTCCAATGATGGGACAGAATCTGATGGTGATGATAGTGATGGTGATAGTAGTGGTCTTGCTGCATGCCAAAATGATCAGCCAGCTGTTCCACCATTGAAATGGTGCAAGCTTGATGTGCCCCACCATGAGCAGAGAAGGCTGGCAAAGGAAACTCAACTTGAGGAGATGAAGAAGGCATTGGCTTCAATAGAAAAGCTTTTGAAGGTGAAAAAAGCATTGTTTGTTGGAGGTCCAAATGGGTTGCAGGCAAAACATGCACGCTCAATCCAGAGTTACCTCACAATGGTCATCAAGAAGAAATGTCTCTCCATTGATGTGTCACAGAGGGCAGCAGAAAGTCATGGATTTGCTGCAAACTGGGGTGGCCACCAAGTGTGCAGCTGGACCAGGCTGTGGGTGGCAGATCACAGACTCCCTGAATCTTTACAAGGTCAACATGCAAAGGTGTACTCCCTTCTTGGTGATCCCACCATTGCCACTGAGCTGCGCACATATGCCCACTCAAAAAAATGGGTCATAAATCCAGAAAAGCTCATTCAACTCTCACAAGATAGGCTTATCCCTGCTGAGGCCACAAAATATGCACAAAAACTTGTTGAGGAGGAGATGCCCCATGGTCTGAAAAAGTATATGGAGCTTGAAATATTCCCCATATCCATCTGAAGGTTGGCCGAGGCATTTCACTGAGCACAGCTTGTCAATGGCTTTGGTGCAAAGGTTTTTGATTCCTCAAACACCAGAAGGGTCTTTATTTTGATGGGCACAACTGTCCAGATGTTATTCACTATTGCCAGCAACAGTTCTTGCCATTTATGAAGGCCTGTGAATACAGATTGGTTCAATTTACTGTTGGTGATGTTGATACTGAAGTGCCAGCCAATCCTTCAAATTATGTTGAATGTCATTTGGTTCTCTGCACACACGATAAAATGACAGCACAAGGCAATGATGCAGTTGGCCAGTATTGGGTTTTTGATGATGAATTCCATCTGTGGAAAAAGTGAGCAGGTCAAGGGCTTCACCAAAGTGATGTTATCTCCTCCATGGTTGGTCACTTGGTTGAAGCAGGAGAAACAATGGAATATGGCAAGAACCATGAAGGCTACTGGTGTGGTGAGAATTTCTGCACTCAGGTTGGTCATAATTGCTGTGCCTGTATGAAAATATCTCATTTGTTCACTCTCAGCTTACTGAGAAAATCATCCCCACATTTGAGCATGCTTGCTGTCCCAGATATCAAGCACTATTTCTCATTGACAACTCTCAAGGACATTCTGCATATGCTGAGGATGCTCTTCTTGTCAGCTGCATGAATATTCATCCAGGGTGGAAACAGGCCAACATGTGGAATGGGTAGTTTATCCAAGATGGCATTTGAGTTGAGCAGGAAATGTCATTCCCACTTGACCATCTGGAACATCCTGGTGAACCAAAGGGTGTCAAGGCTGTTCTGACTGAACATGGCTTGTACGAGTACTGGCATGGCAAATGCAAATCAAAGTGCAAGGCAGATGCTACTCATTGCTGCAACAAACACATATTGGAATTGCAGCCTGATTTTCAGGAGCAACATTCACTTGTTCAGGAGATCATCAAGAATGCTGATTATCTTTGCATATTCTTACCAAAGTTCCATTGCAAGCTGAACTTTATTGAGTTTTTCTGGGGAAAGGTCAAAAGGTACCTTCATGAGCACTGTGACTGCACATTCAATAGGTTGAAGGCCAATATGCCATGAGCATTGGCATCTGTTTCATTGCAGACCACCTGGTTATGGGAGCATCAGACTCACAGGTGGTTGGATGCCTATCAGTCAGGGCTCGGGACAAAAGATGCACAGCTGAAGGTCCAGCAATTCAGTTTGACCAAGTACAAGTCCCACTGACAGGTTCCGGAGACTGCAGCACAACTTTTTGACTGACTGTAGGTAGGGTAGATAGCAAGTGGCCAATCTGACTGCCAATGAAAATTTTATCTCTGTCAAATTTGATCAGATTGAAAATCGCTCTTACAGTTTTGTTTGTCTCATCAAAAGGAACATTTTTGTAAGAGGAATTAAAATTCTGATGTTTTTTCAAGACAGCAGGACATTAGCACACAATTGGTGGCACCTAAGTGATGCACACCATAGGACTAGTCCTATCGTGGGTTCTGGCCATGGGCTGTGTTTCCTTGGCCATATGGTTCTGGCTAGGTTCCATATTTTCTTTCACCATACATTCTATCTCTCAATCGTCTGAAACATCTCTTCTTTTGGAAAGGCGTGCGCACCACACGGACATTCCCGAGCCCCAGCGTGACTCATCATGCATCACCTCCGAAACTTCGTCAATTCCCACAAGTGGAGGTTTTACCATTATCCAACAATTATTTATCCAAGCCTTACATGCATTACTCAATCCCCTTCTAACTACAGGCGCACACCCGGTTCACAGGTACCTCTAAATGTATGGAGCTTAGGTGGGAGTCGCAGGTGAGAAGTACCCACTCAGGAAATGCCCCAAATCCAATTTCCAATCTGGCATCATTGACCATGAGGTGGGTGAACAATTGTCCGCTGGAGTCCGTTGTCTACTATGTTGCACAATCTAACCGTGTCTATCGGTGGTATGTTGGCACCTACTAATAATGCTTGACTCCGAGTCAGCACAGACATCTCGTCATTTGCTGTATTGCGTGCGCGAGGTGTCTGATGCGAGTGATGGTCAGGACATACCTTCCGCACCAAACCTCGTCTAACCATCACCCCGCCAGCACGCCTTAGCTCGCTTGAAGTGAAGAATCATGTCATTCCAAATGTAGATACTCAGTCTCACGACCCACGAGATGAATTTTATTGGTGTCGACGGCCAGAATTCAGAGAAATGGTTCAATGCGACTTTGATAGCTGCAATCAATGGATACAGGCTTGTCTTTTTTCAACATGCTTCTATCACCGTGGCTGATTCCGTTTCATTTTGAATGTGTTGATTTGCTGAGGCAGATTGGTTCTGCAGTGACATGTGCAGCAGTGGCACCAACTCTCAGAAGAAGACAGTGATTTTTTAAAATCTAAATGTCGTACATGTTCGCCTATACGATGACTAGGGTGTTCGGCAATACATGTTCGTCACTCGTCCGGTATAAGATGGCCTCATGTACACTTTCCCGAGCAGGTACCTATTGGCCGCCAGATCATAAGTTCGCACAGCGAACCCCTAATTTCCAACAGAACTCTCGTGTGACGTGTCCTTCTAATGTGTTAAATACAAGATATCCACTTATCCGATTGATTCGCTCTATATCCCCGTTCTTGAGTTGCTCATCGTCTGCTAGTAGTAGACCATGTTGACAATCCCCAATGTTACTTGGCTGGACCTACTATGCCTTACTGGTGTCGGAGTCTATCTAGTAAAGCAGGTAATTATCAAGAAGAATCCTGCACCATATCCACCTGGTCCCCGGGGATGGCCTCTCATTGGCAATATTTTAGATATGCCTCGCATCAAGCCCTGGGTCGCATTTACTGAGTGGGGTCAGAAGTATGGTAAGTGACTCCATTATTCCAAAATCATGCAATTTCAAAAATCTTTCTACAGGTGATATCGCGCATATCGAGGTTCTGGGTCGGCACATAATCGTGCTGAACTCTACCAAGACTGCATTGGAAATGATGGACAGTAAAAGCACTTTGTATTCTGACCGTCCTGTTCTTCCTATGGCTGGCGAACTTGTTGGCTGGAAGGACTCTTTGCCTTTCCTTCCTTATGGTAACCGTTTTCGCCAGCAACGCAAGAACTTCCATCGGATCATCGGCAGTCGTGCTGCAGTGGACGTATACAACGTGGTCGAGGAAGTTGAGACTCGTCGATTCCTGAAGCGTGTGCTTGCGAAACCCGACCAACTGCAGGAACATGTCCGACAGTTTGTTTTATGTATCCTCGAAATGACACGAGCTTGAATTTTTACTATAGCACTGCTGGCGCGATCATTTTGCGCATTTCTCATGGTTACGAAGTGAAAGAGAACAACGATCCCTTCGTTGACCTTGCAGACCGCGTTATAATCAATGGCTCGCAGGCCGCATCTCCCGGAGCATATATGGTTGACACTTTACCATTCTGTAGGCTAAATCCTTCTGACGTTTGTGTTGGCTTCCGATAACCTGAAAATTCTAGTGGCAAAGGTTCCCGTGTGGTTCCCCGGTGCTGGCTTCAAGCGCATAGCACGTAAATGGCGTGAGACCCTCGAAGAGATGGTTTCTGCACCCCACAAGTTGGTGAAGGACCAGATGGTGACCAGTTTACAGTTTTGCAGTTTTACGATCATGCATTGAAGTTCAAAATTTGCAGGCTGCTGGTACTGCCCCTGTGTCTCTTACCTCGAATCTCTTGGAAGGCCGTGATGTGTCTGCGGAAGAGGAACACTCTGTGAAATGGTCTGCTTTTTCCCTGTACAGCGGTGGCGCCGACACGGTTGGTCCCTACATATTTATGTTTCTAATCATGATGTTCTGAAAGTACTACGCCCATTTTCTCAGACTGTTTCTGCAATCAACTCGTTTTTTCTAGCTATGACACTTTTCCCTGATGTGCAAAAGAAAGCTCAGGCTGAAATAGATGCGGTTGTCGGTTCTGATCGTCTTCCCACCTTCGCCGACCGCGACTCCCTGCCTTATACTGAGGTGCTTGTCAAAGAAGTTCTCCGCTGGAACGTTGTCGTTCCCACCGGTATGCGGATCTCGTTCATGACATTATTTATTTGACGACGGGTATCTCAATGACAGGTTTCCCCCACCGTGTAACTGAGGACGATATCCATAATGGGTACTATATTCCAAAAGGCTCCATAGTACTACCTAACATTTGGTTGGTGCTTCCCTTCGGTTGGTGAACAGAATGTAAAGATCTTAATTGCGACAGGTTCATGCTCAAGGATCCACGCACGTATACTAACCCCTCGCAATTCAACCCTGACCGCTTCTTGGCTAAGGATGGAAAGGACCCTGAGACAGAGCCTCGCACAGCCTGCTTCGGCTTTGGTAGACGGTAAGCATAAGTTGGTTCTGAATCTGATCGGAATGCTAATTTTCTGCTCCGCAGTATTTGCCCAGGTGTATTCAACTCGCATCAGTTAATCCACAGCATTCTGACATTTGCTTGCTTTTGGTGTACAGGTATCCACCTTGCTGAAGCCTCCATTTGGATATCCACCGTGATGTCATTGGCCGTGTTTGATATTTCAAAGGTTGTCGAGAATGGTATTGAGATCACCCCCAGTGTTGAACCCTCACCAGGTACGATCAGGTATGTCGCATATATTGTCACGTCCGGTGCTGGTCTTGATTGACACACTCCCAGCCACCCCAAACCTTTCAAGTGCTCTATCAAGCCTCGCTCTGCGACTGCCCTTAGGCTCATTGAACAAGATGCTAACTACTAAGCTCACGATGGTGAGGCCGAAGAAACATGTGGGGATAACACACTTAGTATGCGTTGTAATTTGTACGTTATACTAGAAGTTGTGCAATATGGTTTTTGGAGAAATTATCTACTTCCGCGGAACTTTTGTGGATGCAATGAACGTTAACGAGACTATGTACTCATAATGATAACCTCGATATTCCACATCAGCTCGTCCTGCAGCCGCCCAATCTTTGCATGTTCACGAGGCCTGAAATGCCCCGCTGGTCCTAAGGCCAAGTTTCGGTGGATGATATATAGTAGCCGGTATCTACAGCATGAATTTCGGGTGCTATTGCGTCCCTAATGTCATACTGTCCGAGTCTATCACTTGGCACCATTGGAATGGAGCGACTCTGGGGAGTGGCATGGTCGTTGTAGGTCTGTAAAAAGTCTTACTGTATGCAAGTTGCAATAACAAGAACGGAAAGAATAGTACTGCGATGGAGCTCAGAACTTATACCCAGTAATTGATTCTTGGCACATAAAATTTGCCAGTAGTCTTGAATCCTTGAGCCAGAAGTTAGAACCGTGGACGTGGGAAGAACGCGGTTTGTTACTTTGTGGTTGCTCCCAATAGTGACAAGCCACTGAACTAGAATGCCGACGCCCTCTGAGACATCGACCCGCTCACGTTTGTCGTTGTCGCGCACGACATCAAACTCAACTACTACGCGTATTTCCCTTAAGACGCGTGCACTGTCGATCACAAGTGATGCGAGCGGTTGCACGACTGTGAAGCCCACTAAACCAATTTCGAATTCGAATTCCACCTCAAACATGCTCTCCACGACGCCGACGCTCTTGAAGCGTTCTGGCACAGGTCCGCCAAGTGCTTTCCCGCGTTCTTTGTATGCTTCCACTAGCAGCACTACAGACTCGAATGGAAATCGAGACGCAGTGTCATCAACCCCGTCTCGAGCACGCGTCGTTTCAGAAACATCTGCCCTAACTCCATCACGTCAACACCGTGCTTCAGTCAACCTCGCCTCTCCCAAACCTGCTATAAACTTCACATCTCCAAGTCCCGCAAAGCACAAGAACAATCCTTCATCCGCGTCAGTCCGCGTGCGTACCACAAGCTCTGCTACTTCCAATTCTGCATCAGTATTTGGAAGCGGTGAAACAGTTTCTATGACCAGGACTGTCTCCATGGAGAGTACTCCTACCACTGTACCCCCGTCTTCTGCGCCTAAGCCCCATTCAAGCAACACACCCTCAAAACCAAACCTTCAATAAACACACCTTCATCCATCACACCTTCCAAGTCCTCTCCTCTCGCTCGCACCCAGCTACAGCGCACACCATCAGGGACATCCAATATGACACGGTCCCCTGGAACAAAAAATATGCACTCTCCGAGTCCAAAAGTCCGTTCTCCTGGCTCAAACTTCATGGGTAAAGAGCCCGTCGCGTTGCTGTCCGAATCCCTCGCCTCAAAAAGAGCTGTGACTGCGAGCGCCATGGGCGGGACTAGAGTAGGGAGCGTCTTCAGCGATGGTACCGGGAGTATCATCGGAGGTCCAAGACGCGTGAACGGACGCGTCATGAACGGTGCCGTGATCAATTTGAATGATGACACGGGTCTGGAGGATATCTGGGATCATGAGGATGATGGGATGACGTTTGATATGATTACGGATGTGGATGGGGAAGGTGATGAAGAGGTGAGTTCGTTTCGTTTTAGTGCTTCGTCTCTACTTTTTTCTGTCTGTGCTTTTGCGATTATTGGATCGCGTACAGTCTTATTGTCGTTGCGTACCCACGTCCTTCTGACGCGCACTACATGCACATATTTTTTTCTTGTTTGTATCACTGTGCAGACCCCACTTTCATCCACCCACCCCACCCCACCTCTCACCTCTCTAACAAACCCAGTTAACTCAACTCCACAGCTCGACCAAGCCCTCACCCAAATCCGTACACTCCATACCTCCAAACTCCTTGCCTACAAGCGTCTCCTCGAACGTGCGCACGCAAGTAGCGCGGCGCAGGTTTATCATCTTCAAGCTCAACTCGCAGAATTGCGTTCTCAGTCTCAGTCTCAGGCCCAAGGGTCTTTGCAACTGGAGGGGGGCGAGTATTGTGTATGTGGTGGACGGAAGAGGGGGTATTGGGACGCGGTTAGTTGGGGGGATGGGGATGAGACCGCAGAGGGTGGTGATTTGGTAGATGCTATGAAGAAACTTGATGAGAGGGGATGTTAGGAGGGCTATGAGGGGGTTGGGGAGGGAGGGGCGGGGGAGGATGTGAGTCTTTCTTTTTATGGTTTGGGTTTCTGTTTCTTTTGTTGATGGAAGGAGGTCGTATCTGTTGATCGATGCAGAGGCGAGATCACTTGGTAGTCTCTGGAGTTGTTCCCTCGCCTCTCTTTCCTTTGTTACTCTCCCGTTTTGGTAAAGACGCTGACACTTACACTCTATCATGTAGTATCCAGATCATACTCGAATGTACGTCCCGCACATCTTCATAGAGGAATCGCCAGCTAATTAACCCTTCTCTTCCCCCCACTTCTCACTTTTCCCTCCGACCACCAATAGCAACCCTCCCAGGCGACATCCCCCTCCAAATCCTCCTCCTCCAAAAATACCTCAAAAGCTCATTCGATATCATCGGTTTCCTTGCTCCTGGGATCGCCCTTCAAATCTTGAGCAAGTTGAGCGTGAAAGAGGTTGTTAAGGCTGGGCTGGTGAGTGTTTTGTTGGTGTTTTGTGATAATTTGTGGGATGTTGGGACATGTTGATTCCGCTTGGAACCCTTGTTCCCTGAGGCACTAGTCGAAAGCATGGGTACTGACGACACGACAGGTCTCAAAAAAATGGTATACTGCAACTCGTCATCCTACATTGTGGAGATGGCATTGTCTGCGCTTAACTGCCAATGATCCGGTCCGTGTGAGGGCACCGGCGAAGCCTGAGGGATGGTGGGTTCTCTTTCCTCCCTTTTCGTTTTTTCGTCCCCATTCCCACTCGCCTCTGTTATCCCTCTCCATCATGACCTCAACACTTACATTTACTAATTCTTTCATTGTATTGCATTGCAGGTACCCTCTCTACCGCTCCCTCCACCACCGCGAGTCTAATTTTGCGCATGCGCTTCCGCAGAGCATACGCTTTTTGAATGGACATACAAATTTCTGTACGACGTTGTTGTTGAGAGGTGAGGGGCGTGTTTTGGGTGCTTTCGGTGTCGTTATTTTGGAGGTGGACGGCACCCCCCCGGATGGGGCAGGTTTCTGTATTGATGATGAAGAGGCGTAGAATGTGAATCAGGGAGGCTGAAGGTCAGCAGCTGTATTGCAGGTCCTGCTCCTCCAGCCACTCCGATTCACAGCTGCCCTCCCTCCATTCCGCCCCACCTCCGGTGCTCGCGTACCCTTTTGACTATGCTTAGTGGACGTAGAATGTGGACCAGGAAGGCTGAAGGTCAGCGGCTGTATTTAAAAGCAGGTCTTGCTCCTCCAGCCACTCTGATTCACAACTACTCTCCATCTACCCCCATTTCTCCTTCCCTTGCATTTTACATTTTGCTTTTACTCTCCCCAAGCATGGACTTTCGCTGACCCTCTTACAGGCAAGCGCCTCATTTCAGGTTCCTATGATGAAACCATCCGTTTCTGGGACATCGACACCGGCGAAATGAAAAAGTGCCTGCAGGTGAAGAAGCCTGTGAGCTGCGTGGATTTCTTGGCGGAGGAAGGTATGTCATTTTTTGATACAATGCATTACGCGTGTTTGGAGCTCATGTGCCGAAGAGGTTTTCGTCGTTGGGTTTCATGATGTTGGGTGCGTCCATTTGTGTATATCTCATGCTCGAATTAAAATCATGCGCCACAGCCGTGTTCACCTTTTTTCCTCCGTCACATTCACGCCTCTTCAACAACTTGCCGGACACCTCAATGGTATCCGCGCCGTTGCGCTTTCCTCCAAAAATCTTGTCAGCGCAGGCGCTGACAAGGCTCTCGTGTGTTGGGATTGGCGCGCCGGGACGAAGATCGTGAGGTTTGGACAGCAGACAACAATCAATATCGGTGTGCAGATCGTCCAAGGGGGCACAGAGGCGGAGGGAGAGCGTGTGGTGGGCGTGACTATCGATGGCATCGTTCGGGTTTTCTCGATTAGTGGGTTTCTTGTTTCTTTGCTGTCGAGTTCCTCTATACTCTGTTGCTGATGGTTTGATGATGGTACACAGAGAGGAGAGAAATGATCTCGCAGTTCAAGCTCAGCGAACTCGGTGGTAGCGATCCTGTGTTGCATGCGAAGCTGTTTAATGTGGGCTCTGCGCCTAATAATATGTTGCAGTGGTTCGCGGCTAAAGGCTCGCAGATGACTGTAAGTGTTGTGCTTATTTTTAGTCTGCGTACCTCATTTGCTTCTCATTAGTGTGCGACTAAATCTGTGATCTTGCACCTGCAATGGACCGAAGGCGAAGACGAGAAGACCCCTGCCGAGACGACTACGATGAGCCCTACGTTCACTGGAAGGACTCTTACCTCACCTACACCCTCTTCCCTTAACCCGAGATCACGCGCCGTCTCATCCCTTATACGGCCACGCAGATGTCTACTCCCCAGCGCAGACAGTCTGCACTCGGGGTGAGTACATCGGGCTTACCCAAATCGCGACTTTCGCTTGGGACACCTTCCACGCCTCTCTCCTCCAATCTCAGCGCATCCCAGCACTCAGGTGTATCACCATCCCCGCTCTCCCTACTTCCTCGATCTGGCACTCCGCTGTCCCCGATGGGTGCACCGTTATCCCCTATGGGTGCGGCGGGTGCAGATGGGTTTGCGATTCGGTTCGGGCGGGCGGCAATTCTGACTGCACCTCCCAAGCTCGTTGCGCTTGTGGAGACGCCTGATGTTGCTGTTGGGGCAGTAGATCCTAGGAAGAGAAGAGTGGTTACTGCTACGAGGTTTAGTTCGCGAGCGGGGGGCTGATCGGAGGGTACGTCTGTCCCATCATTATCCCAACTGAACCTGGTCCTCATTTGTTCATTTCGTGTACTCAGGTTCTGATGTCGACGCATAAAGATAAGGACAAGGTTGATGTCCTTGATGGTCCACTCGATGAAGACACGGGGCCTACAACGGATCATGCAAATCCGATGTTCTCGTCCCCAACGCCGAGCGTTGATATAGATGCAAATATCATCTCTTTGTCGGGTGCATGGGCGGCGCTTGCTCATGCCACGCCTGAGGGCGTGAAAGGTCTTCTAGGTCCGTTGCCGCCCAAGTTTACGGGCTTGGCGGTGCCAGAGAAGAATCCGATGTCGATGCAGCTCACGCATGAGGAGGTAGTAGTGGGGTGCGCGGATGGGACAATTTAGTGAGTGGTTTTTTGTTGCGTTGTGTATTGGGTATGTGCTGATGTGTTGTTGGTAGCGTGATGAATTTCGTGGGGCATGAGTATATGAAGGAGAGGTCTAAGACGGAGGAAGGGATCGAGGAGGAGGAGAGCAGTGACGAGGGAGATGCATCTGTGGATAGGAGTTTAATTTTTGGGGCTTGAAGATTCATGCAACCACACCAAAAGGACGGGCACCAATACCACACCGAACAACTAGCAAAGGAATACCAACTACTACCGCACTGGATGGAACGCATGGACTAGAGCATTCAACAATTTCGACAGGACAACTACCACCTACGCAGCACACTCGTTTTATACCATTAATGATTCGTTTATTTAGATTATCGTTAGTTAGAAGTAGAGACAAATAGCTCTTTATATGTGGCTCGTATCAATTATCTTGCTTTGCGTCCTGGGACAGTCAATATTGACCTTTAAGAAACCTGCAAGCATACCTGAGCCGCTTCGCTGTATGTCGATGAACGGACGCCTACGTGGGGGTATGATGGTCGAAGAGGGTTCAAGTTCGCGGAGCTTGAACTTCAACACAACACCAATCATGCACTCTCAGTATTTGTGGCACGTACACTACCATCGAGTAAAGCGGGGGCGTAGTTTCACGGCGTGTATCTTTGACCATGCTCATCAAAGTCAAGGTGAGCATTCAAACTCACTCCCAACAGCCGTTTCGCTACACTGATGACCGCTAGACGCTCACTGGCAAGGAGGTGCTCAATCCAATTCTTGCGATCTGTTCATGACTAACTGTCATGTACGGACAGATTGAGTTGGACATAGATCTCGATGACAAGGTATCTAGCCCATGACAGAGCGTATTCGTCATTGTCAAGCTCACAAACCATCATATGGGGACACAGATTACTCGCATCAAAGAGAAGGTTGAAGAGCAGTCCGGTGTGCCACCACAGCAGCAAAGGTTGATCTTCGGTGGGAGACAGATGTGCGTAATTGCCCTCATTTCCGTCAGACCACGCAAACTGACCGTATCATTGTCGGCTATGATCCAGGCCGGACGACAAGACCGCTAAGGAGTTCAACATCTCCGCAGGATCAGTTCTCCACCTTGTTCTTGCTCTCCGTGGCGGCTTTTGAGATCGCGGACGGTTATTGCGCATGGCGAAATCGTGTTATAGCAAGGCAGAAGAAACTCAATCGCAAGGTGTACTTTGTGTTATTAGCATCATAAATACTTGATTTTCACTTCTTGTATCGCTCTCATCTCGTATCGCCCATCTTCGGCGATGGGTCACTCGGCATGGTAAATATCTTCTTTCTACTCACGCAGCTGACCATATTCAAGTGTTCCCACGTACTTCTGATTGATCTTCTTCCTCGATGTCTGCGTCTAGCTTGGCAACTCCTACCTGAACGCGATGGTCCGATGATCTTGCAGCAGGTTCATATTTGGTACTCCATTCGTCTAATCGTCAACTCTTCACTTATCTGGTCAAGTGGCCTATCCATAGAGAGAATACTAGGTATTGTCCATTACACCCTGGGTAGCATTGAAACATATTTGACTCCACGATCAGAGAAAGGTTGAACGCCACTTGTACCTGGTGGTATCACTCCTGAAGCGTGGAGAAGGACCAATTCGCTCGAAACCATGGCGGTCGATCTAGTTTGTAGCTCACAGATACGCCATTCAAAACACGCGTTTTCGTTGGTCACGTCGACTCTAACTAACTATTAACTGGAGTATATTTCAAGTATTCTTAAGTGATATGACTGACACAGGGTGCAGGAGGCGGAAGAGAAAATCGATTTGTTACTTGTCTACTTTCTATCATTAACTGGAAGAGTATCACAGGGGCTAGGTCGGCTGTTTGCATGATCGCCTTGCCCTCATTGTTTTCCAAGTAAAACACCCGCGGGGCAGGTAGGCTAGGTGACGCGTTCTCCCGGTCATACTACGACTATGATGTTTATTTATCCACCGCAGACAGTCCACGGTGCTCTATGTTTTTCACGAAACACCCTCCTGTTGTCTGTCGTCTGCGCGATGTAAGTTACCCAAATCTGACTTTCGTGTGTCAAGTGTTGCCTACGCCGAAAAGTACTGGACTCTCAGGCTGCGAAGTTCTTGTCGGCTGACAGAGGAACGAGGCCACGCCAATATGCTCATCGTGCACCTTGCGATCCTGTAAGATGCTGAATAACGAACATGATGTTATGTCCGCTCACACCAAAGGGCGTGCATAAATTGACATTTCTCGGGAAATAATGTTTATACATCCACTCCAGACCTCGGCTGCCTAGCTTTCTAAACCCTCGGAGGCATTTTTTAACACGATCAAGGACTTCAGCGACTAGGTCTTCATACTGCATGTGAGGCACGATGTCCTAATATTGGTGACTGCTGGGGCGGAAAGGAAGGTATAACTACTGAGGAGGCAAGAAGGCAGTGACATGGGCTACGATCATGGTGTGCCGCATGCTGTTGGAATTACTGTTCATCGACCTAATTCATTCCCTTTGGTTGATTGGAAACACCTGCACTCGTGGCTGTAGATTCTACTCCCGTGCCCTACCTCCACTGGATCCTGACGAGCCTGAGAGTACAGCAGAGGCCATTAGTCGATAGGGGCTCGGATACATAGTGCTCAAGAGTGTTGACAGAGATGGTGCGTTGACTACGAAAATAACAGATTACAGGCTAATATTATCCCCGCAGACCTTGTAGATGGCGGTGCAGCATTTAAGTGAATAGGTATTTGAGGTGTACGCTAGCTAGGGGGAAGTATGACCTCAATCTACCTCCTTCCTCAATATTGGAGCATCATACGCGGGAGTCGATCTCGGGCTGCCCCAATTCCGGTGGCAAAGTCCAACGACACAATCCTCGAACGTTTGTACTGACATGTACGCAGTTGTCGTTGGCATGCGTATCCCAGATGCTGATAATAAGACGTGGCGCGATAATCAGTGGCGCGGTATTCTTGAACAATAGTACGAGATTCAGCACCGCCGTCTGCATGCCTGCGTCAGAGCAGCCTCTCTAGAGTCACAGGAGATCATACGGAAGGTGGGCCCACAATATCGCCATGAATATTTGACTTGCCAAATTCCTAGTGTGGTTCAATGAATGATTTCAGAGAACACAACAACGAGGGGGAACTTACAGGACAAAGTATATGACATGATATCGGACGATCATTACTACGTAGGTGTTAGGCTTCATTTTAAGTTCCTTTCGTTCTTTCAGGTGCTTCCCGAGGACGGTGATGGCGAGAACAACCAATAAAATATCATAGCATATGACGGGGATGGATGCATATACCGCAGGCATGGGCCCGATGCGATGGAAGACCGTGCATTACTTAATATTTGGAGTTATTATTTCTTGCACTATGCACTGGGCATCAGCTTGCAAAGTACTCAATCAAGATAGAAAGTCACCTGAGATCGCTGAGGGTCGGCTCCATAAAATATATCCATCCCTATATAAAGCGCAACGATAGGTAGGAACAATCCCAGTAGAATATAAAGTATGAGCCTGGATTGGTTGCACAGGACGTAAAGACGCCATATAAGAATGACTGCAAATTCAAAATGGGTAAGCGCAAAGGTGCGAGAGTATATGGATATGATTACCTTCCGCCAAGCAAAGATATACAGAAAAACCCCATTTCATGAACAGAAACATACCATAACCTATTTCGATTTCGTTAATGAGCAAAGCGAGTTTCAGTTGAATACAATATACTCACAACTAAATAAAGGGTCAGCAACAGGTCAGGCCTTACTGTGAAAATGAACTTCTGACGTACGGCTAACTCGGGTCAACCAAGAACTTTCTAAAGAAAGAATCGATTCACTCACTGCTTGAGGTATATAAAACAAACCTCCCCTAGTGCTAGTCAGTTAATGACGGCTCAGTTGGTATCACGTCACGTACAGATGGCGCAAATCCTAGACGTCAGCGTCAATATACAATGTAGCATCTGAAGGGTACAGCCATCGCGACGTACATTATAAGGACAATACCAAAATATCGAACCTGACATAGCAAGAAAATCGGAAACCATGAAGCACTTTGGGAGGGTGGAGCTCACGACAAGGTATAGATATGTCATCACTGACCACTGCCTTTCCTGCATAACCAGTCAGCTCCGAATATTTGTATCGTTAGGGTTGAGCTCTAACCCAAACAAATGTGACCTGCGATA